CTCAAACAGAGCCTAATAACAGTTTAACTGATAGCACGCTTCAGTAAGAGGACTTGAAATTAAAGCGCTACAAAGAGATACTTATCTACAAGAAAAGACTGAAACAGGGATTTCTTTGTATCACAAAGAAAAGTGCTCGAAAACTGATTCACGCAATATAACAGGTCAGTATAAGGCAAAATCAGAGCCACCTTATCGTCCAAGGCAATTAAGTAAATTTTTTACAAACAAAAACCACACTTAAAAAAAGTAACGCCACCTGGAAATTATTATATTCTACTGAACTTTTGTTGGCGTAGTACGCTATGATATTTCGCTTCGACCTATCAATCATACTATCAAGTTCCTCTTTATTTTTAAATTCCTGAATGCTTGATGCAAGTTGTTGTTTTACAAATGCAGTCAACGCTTCGACAGACCGCGATGACCTATGAAATGAATAAAAATATTTTGTTCTTACAAAGAATTTCCAATTTCACTACTTGTGGTTAAAAGTGAACGGCTGAAATATGTCCGTTAGAGTCTGAAGAAGGTATAAATTGACTTAACCTGGTAAAACAAAAACGACCTACCTATACTCTTTGCTAACTAACTCGCCATTGATGAAAACTTTCATAGTGGGATATTTATTGACGAAATATTTGTTGGCAAGACTAGCCTTAAAGAATTCATTTAATTATTGAATGCTGGTTCAAACTTCAAAACTAGCACAGTCAACGCTGCCAAAGAAAAAAAAAACGAGTTTCTAATGGCAGTTTAACGAACAAAAAAGTAAATGATCTTACCTGCTGAACACTATCAACAATAGCCCAGACCACACTAGCGCCAGGGTTTTCTCTAGTAAATGATTCTGCGGCTTCTTCAAAGATCGGTTTTAACCTCCGGCTAAAGGGACACCAATCCGCACAAAAAGCCACGAAAACTACCTAAAGCTAGCATCTATAAACAAAGAATACTCGATATTCAAATAGAGTAAAATGTTCCACTTCTTTGACGTCACCCCCTCCTCCTCCCCGCCCACTGTAAAAGACAGAAAAACAAATACGGGAGGTAAAGAACTAAGAAGATTACTGCTTCCTAAAATGTGTTTTGCAATAGAACATCATTAAAGTAACGGAACGTAGGAAAAAAAGGATTTTCTAATGAAAAATCTCTCAAAGAATCGCAACTGGTGAAACATTCTGCAGAAATCAGTTTTAGAAACTACCCCTATAAACAATAAAATATTATATCCCGATAAATGCAACTCACTTGGGCACTTTTCAAGACAACATCCAAGTTGGTCGCATCCAAATGAGTGATACGGGACTGCACATTGACGGCAAGCAAAAAAATGGCTGCAACCAACCAAGACCAAATCCCCATGCCCTATGGATGTTCTACAA